GTGTCATGAATTTGTTTTCGCGTATCTGTTGGTCGACTTAATTAACTGATTATTAGCGAATTGCTGTGTTATGTCTGTCATCGTGTAGGCCTATTTGAAGTTTTGGACGGAACTTGGCTCAGTGGTTTGGAACTAATGACAAGATACCGTCGCTATTCTGACATCCGTAGTTATTAATGTAGTGAACGATTAATCAAAAGATATGACGTATTCAGTACTTAGTATGATTGGCTTTATGATTGAAGGTTACGCCTTAGAGTCTTTTTACTGCTTTGTAATTGGTTAGAGTTTTGAAAATGAATAAAGAGAGTTTGAGTTGGTCTTGGCGAATACTCCACGACAGACGCAGCCTTGGGCAGTCGAGTCCAGTCGAGTCAGTCCGAGAGAGTCCAGGGGCGAGCCTTGAGGCAGTCCAGTCTTGGGCGAGTCTTGGTTCAGCCTTGTGAGAGTCTTGGGGATTTTTTCCCCAGGGCGCTGTGTCTTATAGAGTGCTCGATTGACCGACTAAGACGAGAGCTGAAACGTATTTCGTTGTGTGTGCCTTATTTGACTGTAAAGTTAAAGTGACTTTCCCGACCCCGTACCTCAAGGGAGACAAGACGAGATTCCCCCCTGACAAGTGTGGAGAACCCGAGAGAAAGAGAAATTCCCCCCTGATACTAGTTATACCTAAATTCAGGCTAGGCTGACAACGTTATATCGTATAACATTTCGGGTATTTCATATATCATTGAAAATTTAGCCCCAAAATGTATTTTTCCCTTCCAAAGCAATTATGCAGTCCGAACCACCTGCTTTTATACACACTTTTTGCCCGTTTTGCTATTAAACTGTAGGATAAATTAAGTGATTTAATCCTTTTCGTTTGTAAATAAACACGCTGCGTTTACACAGTGAATCTCAGTGACAGTGAATAATACCGTTTGTGTATGACTATCTATGGAATCATTTATAATGTACCTTAGCAGGGACACAACCCGTCCAGACCAAAAAATGTATGGCTTAGAATAACTTGGATACAACGCACAACGTCATGGGTACGCTCCAGTATCCGCTATGACCTAGACACGTTAGAATATCTGAAGATTCAGCAATTCTGTTGTCTCTGTCTTGAGTACAGAATATTTTATCAATTTTTTAAAATGTACTACTGATCTTCTACCACTAAAATTTATTATAAGTTTCAGTTTCATTATTTGACTACGTACATTTAAAAAAACACAAAAAACATTAGTTAATACCTTGTACAGCGTTCCTATGGTTAAGTGAACCTAGGGACCTAGAAGAAATGTCAATGTGTTGTTTGGATTAGACAACCGCAGTTCAACGTTTGTTCCCAATTCCGTCATAAACACGCAACTCAAAAGAGCATCATTAAAAATCCACGTAGATATCGTGATTGGCGGTACCAACGATTCACTAGGAATATACGCCAGATAATAACACGCAGCCACGAATGACGGCAAAGGTCGTACAGACCTTACATCTGCGATCACATTATAGAAAACATTAGTAGAAACTGATGAAATATATGGGATTACTTACCTTTGGAAATGATTAGAAAAATCCCGAACTTGTATCCATTCCCATTTACAGCAATATGACTGGATAGGTGACAATTGTAGAATGTGTAGATCGTACCATTTTTTCAGAGTAGGGTGTTTCGAACAAAATTATTGTAGGTTATTGTAGCATTATAATTATAATTCCTATCCTTACATTGCCAAATCATAAATGCGTCAATAATTTACATCTATGCTGCGTTGGATAGATATATCACATGGGATGGATGTTCTTATATCAATTTTGTGTTCTTAAATGCAATGTGTGTTGCATATTTTAATACTGCTATACACTATACCGTAAGTGTTCACCCATCGACGCCAAAGAGGAGCTCAGTCGCTAGAGGGCGCTCATAAAAGTATAAAGGCAATATTTCTTTTACACTGTACAACGGGGTTGGCATACGATTCACAACGCAGACGTGAGATGAATGGTATCCCTTGCTGCATTCCAACTGTTGCGTCAGCGGTGGCACATTGCCGTATATGCTAATACAGTCACCCAGCGATGTCCATCGCAAAAATGGCCTTGACTCATCTAGTCTGCACTAGGTTAAGAAAGAATTAAGACATGTGTGACAGATTAAAAACTGCCATTGTGGCAATATTGAGGTTATATGACATCTTTTAACATGGTCCAAACGTATTTGATAATAAACGTAATAACCACAATAGACAGAGTGGGGGGTGGGGGTGGTGTCAAGACCGAATTCCGGCGTTTCAAACTAAATGCTTTCTATTAATAATTTCACTTTCAAATAATATTCATGGGATATGTCTACGTCATAACCTCGTTAAAGGTTATTAGCATATTGTGTACGCAGTGCGCATGCTTCGGGCTCTTTTTCCGTATTCCACAACACATATGTCATCACAGCGAGGTAAATTGAAGTTTACGTTCCATGCAACGTAACATTCAGCACCTTCAACGAAGTTTCACCACATTGATGGTGCTAAAGGTTGTGTTCGTATTCGAAGCCCACACATTAGCGACACTACCTGATATACACAACAGCTAGCAAGCCACACCAACCCAGTGACAGCTGAGGATTTGTACACATGCACTTCCATCATGTCATACGCTGTAATATGCAATTAAAATTCCGGTTTCTCCCTAACTTTGGATAAAACTTCCGTATCGCTGATTTCGCGATCAACACTTATGACGGGTAATACAAGTCTAAACAAAGGATAAGACACACTACAGCGACACTATGACGTGTAGCACATGACGTTATTGCTGTATTTATGAATGGTTACACGCCACATCAAACAATGCATATTATAATGCGACTTCGCATGCTAACATTAGCACATATAAAACTATACGCTCTAAACAATTGTAATAATAATCACAGGCACCAAACAAGCAATGTAAGTCACCGGCAGTTATTTTTTTTTATATATTAGACCAATATTGTATTTGTTAAAGAAATATGCTTACAGTCATTGTGTTTAGTGAATGACACAAAAATAAATGTAACAATACTCATACTGATCCCAAGTTTAAAAAAAAAAAAAAAAAAAAAAAGAATTACAGCGATACAAGTCCCGCGTACGTACGCCAAATAGTACCTCGAATGTGTTTAAATGTTTATGGGGAGTCCAGGAAGGTTCCATTTGTCGCTTTTATTATTTGCATTATTTATTAATGACCTTGGCGAGTATCTACAGCATCAATTATCTGGTGCATATGTTGGTTTGCCAAAAATAGTTGCTTTCTACTTACGGATGAGTTTTTTTATCTACAACGCAATTGGCTTACATAGTATTGAATGTCTTGTCAGGACACTCGGCTAAATGGAAACCTAAAGTAAATACAAACAAAACCAAAATCATGGTCTTCAGGAGAGTTAATACTTTGATGCATTACGAGAAATGGTGCTTTAATGGATAAATACTTCAAGTTGTATCTTCCTTTACTTACATGGGTATCACATTTTCTTCTAGTGGTCATTCATTGGTTTATGGCTCAAAAAAAAAAACTTGCTGAACAAGCACGCAATGCAATGTTTGCTTTAAAACGTACTTTATCTAAATATAGCTCCATTGAAATACAAGTTTATATGAAAAATTTTGATTGTAAAATATTACTAATATTAATGTATGGGAGTAAAGTTTGGGGGTTTGATGGCGAGGAAAATGTTGAAAAGGCGCATCGAAAATTTGGCAAATATGTTTTGAATTTTTTTCCAATACATCAAACCCTGTTATTTATGAAGAATTGGACAGATTACCTTTAATATATGCTTTAATATAATAAAATTGATGCTCGATTAACTAGTATTCAATCATACATATATAATGGTGAATAGTTTACCATATTGAATAATAATAACCCGTTTAACTGAAACAAACCTATTACATTACTGATGAAAAATATAAAATACTTTTCGATTATAGATAATTTGTTCTATATGATAAATATAAGTACTTATTCAGCGTAAAGTGTCCCTACATAACACATAGTCATTTACAATCAATATACTTAAATAATATCATCTCAGCGTGAAACAGCAAGAACATTGTATGGACAACAACGTATAGCCAGCCCTTCGCAGTGATCCTTCAGACAAGGCTTATCTTTGCCGGGAGGTACTTTGAAAGTGTAGTTTTGAAACAAACTAACGAAGATGAGAAACATTTCATTCTTGGCTAACGCTTCCCCAACGCAGACACGTCGTCCCGTGGAAAAAGGTAAGACATTTTCAGGTTTGGGCACCAGATTGCCATCTGCATCCAAGAATCGTTCTGCAAAATAAAAAGGTAAAACACGGAAACGTTAACCGAAAACAATAAGGATTATTTCATTAGAATAGCCTACTGTAATACTATCCAGACAGGCCATCCACTCTAAGACTTTCACACAGGGAATATAACACTTTTGAGGTTTTCAAGTCCCGTATTCCGTCAATGAAACATTCATTACTCATAGATTTTGTAAAACTATTTAATTTATGTTTTTGTAAGGCTTCATTCTTTATGACTATTTGTTAGTATTTACACAAATAGGCACAAAAATCACTATGGATGTGCGATTATGGATGATGAAAAATGGATATGTCGGCGGATAGCACTTTGGCTTCACTTTGATTACTTCTCGGTCATAATGTTTATTTTTTCTCCCACAAAATTGACCATGTATTGCTAAATGATAATCTCTATTCTAACTCAACTACAATATAATCTGAATAGCGTCTGAAATGTACCACCACACAATAATACCTGGACGGAATTCTTCTGGTTTCTTCCAGTGCTTCTCATTCATATGCACATTCCATAAATTCATCCACACCCACGTGTACTTTGGTAGCTTGTATTCTCCTATAATAAATTCACATGGCTTTGTATTGTTTTTGTAATTATCACCAATCTATAATATTGTACAAATGTAATCTTTTACGTGACAATAAGAAACGTTATGACCTAAATATGTTTTTTATATTTGATTTTTCACTCATTACAACTTTAATTACACTGTGACACCAACATTTACTGCGCATGTCTCGACCTAAAAATGAATGTTCCCTTACAAAATAAATGTGCACGGCGACTGCATGGGGACTATGCCACCATCACATATCCCACCGCGATTTCGTGATAAAACTGTTCCACAGTAGGCAACTCTCGCATTTGTATGATTTACTATCAGCTCAAGAAAATCACGCGAAGATTGTACTTTTAATAACCATCTCGCGGTAACTGTTAGCCTTAAGCTCGCGAAGAGAATCCAAAGAGCAATGCTGTTTACAAGAAGGTCACGGAGAGTGCGCAATGAGTGATACTGTTTACAGTCAACACGCAAGGTATAAAGCAAAACAATTTACACGTGGAAATAAAATATAGTTTAGATAGCAAACATTTTTTTTTATCAGTCCTCCCCACCACTTATTTTATAATATATCAATATTTTAGTAAATCGCAATTGTAAATTGTCAATTGCGTATATATTGAATTTACTTAATTCATTCACAGACTCGTGATTAAGGTATTATTTAAGCCGATCACAGGCTAATGATGCATATTCATTTTGTTCACATACATTTTGCTTTGGGAAAACTATCATATGAGCTATTGTTTATGCATGCATTTAATGTGACTTTCATATCCTTTACTCAACGAAATAAATGGTACAAAGTGAAAAGTGTTTCTATAAAATTTTTGTTTGAATTATTAAATCAGGGTCAACTGACCATTGTATTCCTTTAAGCTGTTTTTGGAAATTATAATTTATGCGTAAAAAGCAATTTTAATATGTATGCGAGGAACAACGTGCAGTCTGTCCATGGGACTGGCAGAGTGCGCCCAGTATATGTAGACAGCCTGTGGTCAGTACGTGGTAGCATGCACTGGTAGGCGGGGAACGTGCAATAACACGCAGAGGTAAGCAGATGTGTACACAGGGGATAAGCTGTGAGCTTGAGCAAAACTAATGTGCATGTCAAATACACACTCGTTGTGTAAACGCCGAGTTTACGCGATGTGGGGGGTCACAAACACTGTGCTGCACGTTCACGGCGACAAAACAATAGTATCATTCACGCACAGCTCCTTGGCACGGGCTAAGAGGTCAAATACCTTAGCCCGTGCTAAGAAAACGTGCGTGAACGCTTAGCACGGGCTAAGAAAGTACGGATTAAATCTGGCCCTGTTTATAAGACCCGGTCCAGACCCTTATCGCGAGCTAATGAAGAGTGAGTGAACTCTTGCCTAGGGCTAAGCGCCCAAAACGCAATTGTATTCAATGTTCATTGGGATATTTACTATTGTATTCATAACTATTCATTTCAGCAAGCCATTTCCGACATTACAATCAACGCGAACACACATAGAGAGATTGTTCTCGGACAAAAATGAACTAGTAATCATAATTAAAGCGCGGTGGTCGTCGCGCAGTGCGTGCTCGAATTTCATGTAAATAAACTATGTATTTTACACGCGTTGTATACGTCGCTACGAGTCCCATATCGAACAGGACGCGGCGCGACGACTGCCGCCCTTTAAAATGAAGATTTACTTGACCCGTGCTAACCGCCGTTTCCGCCCGCGCGTGAACACTACTATAGTTTGACTGAAATCTTTGTAAGAAGTGACACATGGTACATACCAACTGATGTGTCAATCGTAGTAGTGTGTGGTACCGCGAACGGTGCAACGGTTCGTATTCTTGTAACTTCGTGAATCACAGCTTCGCAATAGGGCAGTATTGCCTTGTCCGACAGCAGAGGTAGACGATCGTGTCCGATGGCCTGGTCGATTTCTGTTTGTACTTTTGTTTGTACATCCGGGTAACAGCATAGATATGCTACACACCAGTCCAATGTGGTAACAGTTGTGTCTAAACCAGCTGTTGAAAAAAAAAAAAACATATTTACGTTTCATTGTTTGATAAAATGAACACAAATTATCAGTGTATTCTATTAGTACTTGCCTCCGAATACATCAGCTACAGTCTGTCTGAGATTAACATCGCCAATAAGGGCAGCGTCCGCCTCCCCAGCTTTCAGTGCCTTCTCTTGTGCAATTAACAAGTCATCAATAAGATCGCGTGCTTCTCTGTTACCTGTTTGATAGGCGGATATTCATATTAGGTAGACAGACACAGCAAACAAACAAGATGTGTACTGATTGGTCATATATGCGAGATAATCTTACAATTCACTTCCATAAGTCTATTACGATAATACACATCGCACCCCGCTGACGTACGTTGTAGTGTCAACATAATTGCGTATACGTAGGTACATAATGTTCAAATCATTTAGCTAAATTCTGCTGTATTGGACAATCACGTTTGTTTAAATATATTAGCCTTCTCAGAAGTGAAAATCTGTATAATGTTTTGAAAACTAAGTTTGCTGTAATATGCTCAATATGGAGCATCCGTCAGATTCATAAGGTGAGATGATCCGCTGTTTAGTTTTTAAAGTTTTATTTTTTTACGAAATATTTCAACAAACGATTTTCAATCGATTTCAATTGATTACTCCTATTCGTACGCTGAATACTGGGATATTACTCACCATTTTCAAACTTCAGTTTGTGTTCGTCAATTTTACATTGAATCGTCTGCAGGTATGCCTTGTATAATGCTTCAACTTTAGTTCGGCCGGTGGTCGGTATATATCGGAAAAAGGGTATAAAGTCAGCCACTAATCCATTTCCAAATGCTTCATTAAGATCATTAATGAACTTTAAATAACCAAGAAACTCTTTGTCATTCAGTTCATACCTTTGATTAGAAAAAAAAATACATATGATCTACATTGACAGCAATATTTTACAATAGAAATGGAACACATTGTGTTTTCAACACTACATAAATCGCACATCTATAATACAAACTTGTTGATTCATGTCATACTAGTATTTAGTGACAAATTACGCTGCATATTAAATTACCCAAAATTATCACGTAATCGCTTTATCACTAATGCAATATTACATTGCTAATCCACACATTAGTTACCTCTGTCCAAAACACATTGTAGCCATAATGTTCGCAATCATTAACAGAATTGCGGGTTTGGGGTGAAATGGTTGGCCGTTCTTTTCATTAATGGCTTGCTGCAGGCGAGGAAATGACACGTCTCTAATTAGACTTTCCAGCTTCTCTCCGTTGGCATAATTTCTAATATATATAAGTAAATGTAAAATGTAGATTATTTTTATGTGTACATTCGTTCTCATATATTATCACCTATCAACATTGAACAATAAGAACACATATTGTAAGTGAGGGAACGATTTATAAACAGTTTCAAAGCCCGACAATGGATAATTTAAAATTTATATTCGTTAGTTCATCCTAACAAATATTAATATACATCTGTCACCGTAACGCCATAAGTTACAGCGTGCCGTAATTTTGCGGTATTTCACGGGGTATTTTCATCCTACCATATTAGGAAATGCGAATTCCAAATATGGAATGATTACGTGCGTAAGCGTCTTCTAATAATAAAAACAAATATGGCTGCCACCAGGGTTTGACCGGACTCTACACAAAGAAGTTCGCTTTAAACTTTTTGGTTGCGGCATTCCTATGATGTATCATTGGGAGGAATAAAATGTATAATAAAAAGTTTATTACGAGGATACTACAAACTATGCACTCAGACAGTACGCCGCGCATCGACCTCGCGTCGTTCGATACTCTCGCTGCACTGTCTTCGTGCACACTTTTCGGTATCCTCGTAATAACGTCGTACTATGCAGATGATAATGAAATTGTCCTAATATTATTGACTTATGCCGCCCTCGTAGACAAGTTTATAATCACCAGCAGTGGCAAAACATGAGTGAGAATAATATGAATAACAGGCACATATACACGCGCAAAAGGCGAAATTGAAACTCACTGTCACAGCAAATGCGCCCAACCACTGTAAGCAGACGTGCCCTTATTACGTTGTACGCACTGTGCATGGTTTTTAGCAGACGTGCCCTTATTACGCTGTACGCACTGCGCATGGTTTTTTCAACGTCAGAGACTCGAAATTTAAGCCAGTGGCACACTTAAATCCCGCAACAGTCTTTCGTAGAGCTTGATCTGCGTCTGGGCGCAGCGCTATTAAGGTAGACCACACCTCGATGACGTCATCACAATGCATCATTTTATGTATTCAGTCTCTTCCCCGTTTGCGTTAGCTCCAAAATATTGAAGTAAGCTATGATAAAATCGTGAGATAACCGGAGAAAATTTACAAACAAGGTCGAAAACTATATTTCTGGCGCTACTTCTGGCTATATGTCGGTAGACAGGCGATTTCACGTTGGCGCCGTACATGCGTTCTGTCATTGCATAAACTGTTGAAATTGCAAAATCGATTTATTTTTCGTGAATCAATACTCAATTAATTAAATTTCGAGAAACTTATAAGAAAGGTTATAAGTTTATTTATTTCAAGAGTGAACAATATGCTACCCCAGACCATTCGTCCCGGTGTTATCGCTATCGCCACACGAGACTCCAGCTTGTCTCCTATACAATTTGACTGCGCACATCCAGAAAGTTGATGTAGCTGTGATTGGTGGAATACTAATGAGTTGAGTGTCAATCAAACGCCCACGCTATCTTTAGTAAACAAAGTCACGTGACACGCGCCATTTTAGTTTTGGCAGGCGATTTCAAGGCAGCACGCTTAACCCTTTCGTTCACAGGTTGGGAGATATTAGAATGACTGACAATTTCACGCCACTGTTTTACATTATTGGCGGATTTTAATTCTGCGCTATCAATCTTTCTCTTACAAACTAGACATAGATGAGACGACAGAGTCGCTCCTTTCACAACGTCGCACTGGATCAAATTGGAAAGACGATTTCCATAAGTTATCCCTCCTGCTTTTCCTGG